AGACTTGTATACCTACGTGGCATAAGCTCTGGCATCACAGGCTTACCCTGGGCAGGCAATGCAGTTATTTCTAAACCTCTTCTTGGGTAATTGCACCTTTTTTCTCCATTCAGTCCTTGGTGTTTCCACTGAGTCTGCTAAGATGGGTTGATTGTTGAATATTTTGTCATATGAACACCATCATGAAGTTGCACCATTAGAAGTATATGTGAGGCACCAGCTTGCTTGACTTTATTAATAAACTACTTAGGAACTCATTTCCCCCCCCACCAATTCAATAATAGACTGTTTCAAGCATGATCTAGAATAGTGGTTGTCAACCTTTTTAGATCCAAGGCACACTTTCCATCCCCTTTTCCCAAACTTTTCTGCAGTTAGTAGCACCCTGTTTCAAAAATTAATTAATTTATTCCTAGGGGTGCACTGATAGACATTTTTTGGGTCGATACTGGTGGCTGACTTAACGACCCATATTAGCTGATTGGGGATCCAATTGCCGATATGCAGCCTGGCAGCTTGGAGATCAGTGTCTGGTTAGTAAGTTTATTGTAGGGGGAGGGAAAGGGCATGTGGAGGGGCAGATGGAGGTCCTGAGTGCAGCTCGGTTCAGGCCCCCGCTGGGAAGAGCCCAGCGCTGCCCTGGCCACAGTCCACAGCGGCAGTCTGCCCTTGCCCCATGCACACACCCCCTCATGCCCTCCCGGGGTGCATGCAATGACAGGAGTCACTTGCTGTTCTGTCCCGTGCCCTGCCCCAGCTAAGCAGCACCTGCCCCTTCCCTCCCCCATCCCTTCCCTCATGACAGATTTAATAGCCCAACACTGGTCTCCACGCTGACAGGCTGTGTTCCTGGCTGCATGCATGTTGTGGCTGCACACATGCATGCAGCATTTATTGGCCACGTCAGCCAAAAAAAAGCCAATTGCCAATATGCTCTATTTTCCTTATATTGGTGCTGATCCGATATGGGACTGATGTATTGGTGCACCTCTACTTATTGCACTGCATAAAAAAATTATGTCTGGGAACGTATTTTAAAACAAAATGGAAAAAACATGCACAAATAACCATATTGTGATTTAAGAAGACACTTTAACATAGCAGTTCTTATAAATATCTTGAATTTGTTAATCAGGACAAACAGCATAACTTGCACAAGTGGATGTTTAGCACTGACTAATATAAAATGGCAGTGTAATGTCTCATTGGGTGAGAAAAGCTGAGCTGAGCCAGCTATTCCTAAATGGGTTGTCTGAAGCTGTATAAGTAACTTTGCTAGTACAGCTACCTTCCATTATAAAAGTAGGAAATACCCCCTTTTAGCTTTCATTCAGCTTTTCATTACGGAAAAATAGAGCAATCCTTCTGTTGGCAGGGAACTCGGAAGACCACACTAGGTCAGAATGTTTTGGATGCTGTGGCTTTCTATTTGAAAACTCTTGTTTATCTTGTGAATCATGTTATAGGTGTTTGCCCACCTAACAGTGTTAAAGTTGCACAACATCCCAGTGCAGAACCACTGATCTAGAATAAAAGGTTCCATATTCTTCAAGTTCTATGGTTTTCTATGCAGACTTCATTGAAATTTTAATTATACAAGTATTAATGCTCTTGTTTTTCCTTCTGTCTTTCTCTTTCAGAAAGAGCTATCTGGACACAAGAATATTGTTGGCTATTTGGATTGTGCAATTAATCCTGTCAGTGATAATGTATGGGAGGTGCTGATTTTAATGGAGTATTGTCGAGGTAGGTAAATTACCTTTGGGATTTCTTTAGGAGCACGAGAAGATGATTTGTAACATGAATTCCTAGGGTTATCTTTAGCAGATGATATGCATTTTAGTCAGGTCCATACTTCAGTTGTCTTTCTAATTAAGAGGAACAACTTTTTAGGCTCAATTTAAAAGAGCTTTCTGCATTACTTAACATGAGACGTGATTAAAAAACCCCCCATGTAAATGTTGATATGCGTATGACCATTTCTTGTTTTGTTCAAAAACCTCTAGATATTTCTAAGCCTTATCATTGCCATCAATATATGCATTAAACCAGAGGTTGTCAACCAGAGGTACTTTGAAAGGTCCTGGGGGGTATGTGGGGGGTGGGTAGGGATGGAGCGCTGTCACCCTGCGCTGCTGCCTTGCAGGTGTGGGGTGAGAGCAGGGCCGCACAGATGCTATGCTGCTGCCGCTTGCCACCTCTCTGCTCTTCTGCTCTGCCTCTGGCTGCTAACCTCCTGACACCCCCCCCCCCCGGGCACAAAAAAAAAAAAAAAAAAAAAGTTGAAAACACCTGCATTAAAACTTGAAAAAAGGGAATATTTCCTCTCCAAACCCCATCGTGAAATTGCTGGGGTTTTTTCAGTGGGGCCAACCTTTTTAGGCAGGCATGTCACAAATTAGCTCAGAATCATCCCACTCCAGTCTCCGTCCCCTACCCCATCTGTTGCTCTGTTTTCTGTTCCCAACCATGTGCTGCATGCCTGCTGTGCTTTCTGTTTCTTGCCCTGTCTGCTGCTGTGCTACCTGACCCCTCCCCTGTCTGCCATGTGCCACTTGTGAAGACTTCTGTGGCACCTGTTTCAGGTTATCCACCCCTGCTTTAGATGATGGTATATCTAACGATCATTTTAGTAGTTTAAATCCTCTCCTATCTTGGAAATCGAGCATATGGAGATCAAGTTAGTGTTAGGAGCCAGTTTTGGTCATTTTGCAGAATAGGTTTCAAGGTAAATGTTCCATGTGAAAATAAACTGTTCCCCACCAAACCAGTATATTAGATGCTTTGAGTTACTATTTCCTTGAGGATTATTGGCCTATGACACTTACCCCCTGTCCCTAACCATCCAAAAGCTGTGAATGAAAATGATTGGTCAGCTGGAATTATTTGTCAGACAGATGCAGAGACTCATATGATGCTCTGTTTTTCAAAAGAGTAAATCTGCTTCTACTTTGTGGTAACTGCTACATACCCCCAATTTTGCCATAAGACAATGAAGCACTGTGAGCCTTCTGCAACATTTTAGAAATCTAAGCCCTTTGGGAGTTGCATGAATGCTGTGTCCTAAGCTTTAAAACTATTTCTTAGATGCTTGTTGATGTAGTGTAGAGGGAAATTCCTCTGTACTTCTGTCAGACTTGAGCTGAATTTTTTCCTTGCTGTGGTTAAGTTAGTAACTGTAATTGGTTGATTTTTCTATATACCACTGCAAACTTGTTTTTTTTGTGGATGGGTTCTCCTTGTTTATCATGCTGTAGAGTGATCTAAGCCAGGAGTAGGCAACATATGCTCCACAGGCTGCATATGGTCTGAGAAGCTAGAGGTCTTTGCCTGTACTCCATGTTGGGGCTGGGCAGCTTCCATCTGCACCTGCACCACTTCTGCATCTCCCCAGCCTCCCAGCTCTGGTCTGATGTGGGCCAGGTGGTTTTGGTGATGCATCACCAGCATGGTGATTTTCCTGTGCCCACACTGGAACCAGAGAGCTAGGAGCTACACCTGCATCAATTACCGCTTCCCCCAGCTCCCTGGCTGTGGGGTGGGTGCAGCTTCCACCCTGAGAGGAGCTGCTCTGGGGCCAGGCATCTGTAAACTGCATCAGTGCTATCACTGTTTCTTTCCCCAGCTGTGGCATGGGTATAGTTTCTAGTTGGTGGAGAGCGGCACCGGGCCAGGCAACTTCCAGCTGTGCCTGCTCTGTAGCTAGGGAGGGGGAGTGAAGAGAAGCAACAGCAGTGTGGGCACAGTTTGCAGATACCTGGTCTGGGTGCACCTCTCCTTTATCTGGAAGCTCTGCCCACAATGCAGTCAGGGAGCAGGGGGCTGGGAGAAGTGACAGCATGGGCACAGCTCCCAGCTACCTGGATCTAGCATGTGCATGGTAAAAGACCCCCACCCCGATGCACCAAAGAACCCATTTGTACTGCTTTTGACTAGATCTGGATTCTTCTAACCCATGGCTTGTAAGAGATTGCTGACCTCTGCCCTAAGCCACCTACAATATTTCGAAGCAGGCATATTATGCATTGGAACACATGAAATGGCACAGGGGGTAAAAGTGAAGATATTGCTATTGGGGCTGTTGGTTAATTTGTGTTAATCTGCACGATTAACCCATTAATTTGTATTTGCATTACTTTTTTTAACATGTTAATTGCACACGTGGCTTTGGAGCCCGTGCCTGGGCTGCCCTGCATTGCCCCTCTGTCACTGTCTCCGCTGCCTCTGGGCTGCCCAGCAGGGCAACACGGGCAGCAAAAGCACTGGGCAGCTGCAGCAGGAAGGGCCCAGCAGTGGTGAGGGAGAGGGGCCACTTTTCCCCTTCACCCAGCAACAGCTTTGGGATGCCACCGCTGCCTGCCTCTGCCATGCTTCACTGCCACCTGCATGCCACTGCT